TATTCCTCCTATTATCTTACCTGATTCTAAACTCTTGATGTCTCTCATAAGTTTCGTAGTCTAGGTTTTATCTTTGATTCTACTATGTCTCTCTCTTCTCAGATTAATAGTGTTGCTAGAAGCTCTTACTTTCATCTACGTAGAATAAAAAAACTTTTGCCTTTTCTTGATGATCCTACTCTTCTCCTTCTTGTTACTTCGTTAGTCTTATCTAGGATTGATTATTGTAACTCGCTCTACTATGGTCTTCCTGACTCTATACTCTATCCTTTAAGTAAAGCTTTTAATTCTGCTGCTCGTCTAGTTGCTCGTGCCCCTTTCTTTTCTCATACATCTCCATATCTTGTTCTCTTGCACTGGCTACCTATAAAATATTAGGGATGCACCGGATTCAGGTTTTTCAAATCCGGCCGGGGCCGGACTTGGCCGGATTTGAAATTCAAAAACCGGCCGGGGCCGGGGCCGGATTTTAGTTACCATTTTACATACGTTAGAAAAAATACTCACATTTACGGTTATCTACATGTTGAACATCAAAAAATAACACCAAGCAAATAGTTATTTAATTCAAATATATGAATAAGTTGTGTGATACGCCAAATTCTGTACACAAAGATCAGCTTATAATTTATGCATATTTGCATAACCCAAGTTAAAGCACAAAGAAAATTGTCCAGCTCACCGCACAATTAGTGATGTTGTAATTATGTGTCATGTCTAACCTTTAACATACCATGTTCTTAAATTATGTGCTCATGTATCTCTCTCTCTCTCTCTCTCTCTCTCTCTAAATATATATATATATATAGATATATATCTTTATATATATATATATATATATATTATGTAACTATATGATCCGTCATGTGCAATTATCAATATATAGTATATACACGTGCACAAGTTCTTTTACACAAAGATCAGCTTATAATTTATGCATAACCCATGTTATAGCATAAAGAAAATTGTCCAGATCACCTCACAATTAGTGATGTTATTATGTGTGTCATGTATGCCTTTAGCTTAGCTTTAGCCATTAACTTATTGACATAAAATTAATTGAATTCAATAAAAAATTTTTTCTATTTCTAACATTTTTAAAAGTTGATAGACGCTTAAATCCGGCCCTAAATCCGGCCACCAAATCCGGCCGGGGCCGGATTCGACCGGATTTGAAAAAAAGCCGGATTTTGGCCGGGGCGGAGCCGGGGCCGAACTTCGGTGCATCCCTATAAAATATAGAATAATTTTTAAAATTTGCACGTTCATGTATAAGTCTCAATCTAAATTATTTCCTAAGTATTTATCAGATATATTAATTGAACCTAAACGCCCCGGTTTACGATCGTTTTCTTCTTCCCGCTTTTTCTTAACTCGTGTTAAAGAATCTTTTGCCAAATCTGCTTTTGCTTTTTCTGGTCCTTTTCTCTGGAACTCTCTACCTACTTCTCTGACTACTTCTCCATCACTTGCGAAGTTCAGAGCGGATCTCAAGACCCATCTGTTTTCAAAATTCATTGAGGAGCGCTGTTGAACATCGCGGAAATAGCGCTTTATAAGCTAATTGATTGATTGATTGATTGATTGATTGATTGATTGATTGATTGATTGATTGATTGATTGATTGATTGATTGATTGATTGATTGATTGATTGATTGATTGATTGATTGATTGATTGATTGATTGATTGATTGATTGATTGATTGATTGATTGATTGATTGATTGATTGATTGATTGATTGATTGATTGATTGATTGATTGATTGATTGATTGATTGATTGATTGATTGATTGATTGATTGATTGATTGATTGATTGATTGATTGATTGATTGATTGATTGATTGATTGATTGATTGATTGATTGATTGATTGATTGATTGATTGATTGATTGATTGATTGATTGATTGATTGATTGATTGATTGATTGATTGATTGATTGATTGATTGATTGATTGATTGATTGATTGATTGATTGATTGATTGATTGATTGATTGATTGATTG